TGGGAAATGGCTTTGAAAGGAAAAGATTTGGAAATTTGTTGCGAAAACCCGATCGCCTAGGAGTTGCCTAGGGTCCGTGGCGTTAATAAAACCTAAAGGGAATTAGGGAGACTGCCTAGCGTGGTAGAGTTATTGAGGCCCCAAATGACGCCATGGAGTTGCTATGGGTCAGGAATAGTTACCAAATCATTCTCTCATGGCGCCATGAAATTGCCATGGGCCGGGTTACATTAACGGTTTGGAAAGGATGAACAGAAAAAGGTTTTGGAAATAGGGAGTGACATTGCATATCATTACATCCCATAACACGGCATGGCTTGTTTGTTGCTTTGGACGGTTGTTGTTGACGTTGTGTTGTATTTTTCCCGAAATGGCATGATCCCACTTTTCTTTTCCTCTATTCATTATATGGATTCACGGGATCATCAAGAGGTGTGTCTTAGGCACCTTCTACTGAGCCTTATACTCACCCCTTATTTTAATATTTTCAAGTTACGGGAAAGAAGTGACGGACGACAATCTACCGCAAATTTAAAGGATTGAAAGGAACTTGAATCCCACTTGTGATTAATGTATTTACTTCTAATTTTGTTGTAAGAATGTATTAAGATGTATAGTTTGTGAATTTTGGTCTTAATATGTTTAATTGTAATGCAATATATTTACTTAAGGTGGAAATGGTTTTGAGACCCTTGGCATCATATTTTGAAGTCTTTTTAGAATTTCTACCTTCTTTTGAGGGTTATAGCTTTTTATAATGTAATTTGAACTCATTTTGTTTATGAACATTATAGCCGAACAAAAATGATGAATGTATGATGAGATCAAAGTTTCTTTGCGTCGCCGTGTTGTAGAATTCCTTGAATTAGCTTGTCAAATTGTTTATTTTTACCATTCATGTATGTTGGGTTGAGAGGATGGAATGTACAGCTTAGAAATGCATTTGGGGTAGCAAATTTCAGACCTACCAGGTTGGGAGCCGGCTCTCCCCCTTTGGGAGCCGGCTCTTTTTCGTCCAGTAGCCTATTTTCAACAAAATTTCAGCATAAAGCCGGCTCCATTAGAGTGGGAGCCGGCTCCCTCAGCAAAAAGAGGCGGCTCCATCAAAATGGGAGCTGGCCCTCTTGTTGCTTTGACCCTTTTTCTTAACCCAAACTTCAAATGGTCATATCTCCCTTATTTCAAATCTAAAAAGGGTCATTCTTGAGTTAAATTTCAAGGATTTTGAACCTTCTTTCCAATGGTACCAATGCCTTTTCCAGATTCCGCTCGTACTAAAAGATATTCATATTTTAGTAGGACAGTGTCGAAAAATCATCTAAGCCGAGATGGGGTAGTTGTGGGAAAACCTAACTAGAATTCTTAGAACCTCATGGGATGTTAAGAAATGGTTGAGATGGATTCATTTGACCTTGTTTGAGTCAGATTTCTCTCCTTACTTTTGAAATAACCAAGTTACCCCCATAACCTAGTTATTGTTTCGGACCCCGGGCTTGAGTCTTTACAGCACGCGCGCAGGGGCACGCCGCGCGCGCTCACATGGGGGTTGCCTTAATGCTCCTTTGGCCGCCTTGACTCCGATTTTGTTTTTAGCCTATCTTCTTCGTCCGAACTCTAAATCAAGTGATTTTTGAGTCTAACTTTGTTAATTTTTCGTCGTCTATCCAATGGTGTGCTTGGTAGACCCACATCTTTATAAAAATTACCATTTTACCCTTAGGGCTAAACTTGTCCGTTTTTAAAATGTCGTTTCCGCTTTGCTTTCTTTTTAGGTTCCGTGACTTCATGGGAAGTCACGCTTGTGTCTTAAGGATGATGTACATTTCTAGAGATATTGTTTCCATATGAAAAGGCCATTTTGCCCTTGGGGGCATACTTAGTCTATTTTTGATCTTTTACTTCTGCGTTCATTCTCGTTGAGTTCCGTGGCCTCATGAAAGGTTATTTTGGCGTCTTACAGATTTATTGCATCTTTAGAGAATTGGTTTCTATTTTCAGTTCCGCATTCGGGATCCGTTATAGGGGTCAAACTTCGGTTCATCATAGGACGCACTGGCTTGAAAAACTAAGGTTGTCACAGCTAGTGAGGTGGACCACAAAAAAAGTACTACAGGGTATGTGTTCATGGTGGGTACAACTACAGTTAGTTGGATTTCACAAATATAGAGGATTGTAGCGTTATCTACTACAGAGACAGAGTATGTGGCAATGATATAGGCTAGTAAGGAGATGATTTGGTTACAAGGTTTGTTAATAGAGTTGGGATTCCAACAGGTGAATAATGTTTTGCACAGTGATAGTCAGAGTGCAATATATCTGGCAAAGAATTCAGTATTTCATTCAAGGACCAAGTATATAGGACTTCGGTATCACTTTATCAGATCTTTGTTAGAAGATGGAATGTTGACACTTGAGAAAATATTTGGCACCAAGAATCCGGCTGATATATTGACCAAGACAGTGACCATGGAGAAACTGAAATTGTGCGCAACTTCAGTCAGTCTTCTAGCTTGAAGACAGAGAGAAGCGCACCGACATATATAGGACATGCATGAGAAGAAGATGGAATGGGTTTACAAGTTCTTTAGTCTCCAAGTGGGAGATTGTTGTGGTTTTGTGGAGTCTGATTAAATAATTGTTTTTTAAGAAGATTTAATTATATAGAAACTTCAAGAGTACTGAATTTTAGAAAAAATTCAGTTTCCTGATCTGTTTTAACTTCCTTTTTGGTTTAAGGAAAATTCAGTTTCCTGATTTGTTTTAACTTCCTTATTGATTTTGGATTCTACAAAAAGCAAGTCTTGTAGGACAAGTTTGGGACTCAATAAATATCAACTCAAATCAGATTTTAGAGTGAGTGAGAGTTAGAAATAAATTTATGTCAATACAAGAGAGAGCAATTGAGAGAGATTGAGACAAAAATCTCCATTGTAATTCTTCATCTTCTTCATAGTGAATTTGTTCGGTGTGCTCTATAGACGTAACCCTAAGATTTGGGTGAATCATGTATATCTTGCGTTCTTGTGTGTGATTTTTTTTATTCTTCGTGATTGCTTATTTATTTCTTGAACAACGTTGTTTATTTTGCATTTCCGCCACAACAACTATTATTAACTGTGATTGATTGTGCAGAGCAACTCTTAACACTATCTACTGCCTATTCATCATTGTTTAAAAAATATTTTGAACCTTTTAAGTGATTTGGGAGTTATTCCCAATGAAGAAATGAAGAGACGATTGTATAGTCATCTTCCGCTGCATATTGTGAATTCACTGAATGAGATATTTGGGGTTTCATCTCCGCCTTACCCTGAAGCTGCTGCAGCCAAGAAGGAGAAAGCGAGGCCAAAGGCCAGTACAAAGAAGTTGGGGCATTTTGAAGCCTTTGATGATTTAGATTTCCATATGCCTACTTCCGCAAAGTATCTTCTTATATCGGCATTTCTTGCTTCAAGAAACCCAGCTACTACCCTTGATGCGTCGCTGTTTGATTCGCGAAAAAGGAAGTAAGTGCTTCGAGTCTTTGACAAATTAAGTTCTTTTCACAGTGAAACAACCCTGAACAGGTGAACCGCATATGATGAGAACACGATGATTTCTGAATTAATTGAACCTTCTGATCAAGGCTTAGATTCGGACATCTCACAATTGTTAAAAAAACCTTACAAAGGAAGATAAATATGACGAGTCTGAACTTCCTTGTGAAGTTTGGTGGAAGAGGCGGGCTACTTCTTTATGTATATACTCATGCAAAAGAGGCAAATGCAGTGTGGTCTATTTTTGTTGTTGCTGCTGTGATGGGCCTTGTAATTCTTGGGCAGCAAGAAAAGGTGGCAGCTTTTGCAACTGAAGTGGAAGGTCAAGATAAATGCTGAGGGATTTTTTATTTTTCCTTTTCATGTGCCTTCTTCGAAATTCATTGAATAAATCTTTCCGTGAGATTCCAGGTATTCTATAGTCCCTTCTGTAACAATTACTACTAGCGATTGTAGGGTGTATTATCAAAATCACACACGCGGACATGCCCATGCACATTCTTTACATCTACTAGCATGAGGAAGTTATGTTTGTGATTCATTAAATTACACGCACAATCAGCCCTTCAAATGTTTATTTCTTTTATTGAATTTTCATACTTGAAATCCATTTGGTATTTAGAATCTAGACCATTTTTTCCCATTAGATTTTAAAATGTGAGTTAAGCCCTGTGGTTTTAAAATATTTACAAATTGACCCCCGTGTGTCTGGGATATCCGGGCTGTGTCCTTGCCTTGTCTGTTTCTTTTTTTCGTAATTAGTACTCACACTTGTCTCTTCTGAGACTTGAACCCCTAACCTCTCTTTGGAAGTTAAGAGGCTGATACCGCTAGACCATTGGCCCGTTGATTTATCATGTCTGTTTTAGAAAAATAATAATTTAGAAATGTGGACATTTCTAACTATGTTGGACATGTGCCCGGCTGTATTCCTGGCGTGTCGTGTTCGACGCTGCCACATTACCCTCAACTATCTGTGCTTCCTAGATTACACCAAGAAGGCTATAGGTTAGGCCCTGTTTAGACTTAAAGTATGTCAACCATTCAAACTGTTTACGATCCTAGGAAAAAAAAACAATCCAATCCTTCTCTTGCGTTCATTTTATTCTTTTAAAAGCAGGAGAGCAATCCAGGTTAGGTCACTCCTCCACAGATGCCATCTTGATAGGTATATAAGAATGTTGGTAGCGGCACATTGTGTGTAGCCATTGATCTGACAAGTAATGCTCCACTAATAATTTGGTGCCATCAGATTTAGTTTGGACATATTTGAAAGCATAAGTCCAGAAAGGAACTTGCTGTCCCACCCTGCAAGGCACCTGCTTTACCCTGCCCTTCTCTGTTGGTTCAGGACAGGTTTGGGAAGTGGTTTTTCCCTTCTGTACCATAACCGACCCATAGCCATTCCTAATTTGAACTCAACTGATTTGAACCATCTTGGGTTTTATGTGGGAATAAATAATATAAATGAAAGAGAAGACTGCAGACAAATTAAACATCTGCAACCTCACTGTATATAAATGAAAACAGATTATTTGTTGCAGACATTTGCATCACGAATATCTAATCTTATTATTAAACAACTATAATTTTACATACTTTGATGTATCTTCCTGCTCATTGTCCTCCCTGAACACAAATCTGTAGAGCAAGCAAAACCGTAAAATATAACACACATAGCAAAATGATTTAAGAAAAACATTGCATTAAAGAAGAAATAATAAAAGAGAAGTAGAGAGAAGAATAGACAGACAACCAATATTTGAGGACATTTAGTAGAGACATTTGTTCAATTGACAATTTTCTTGTGTGTTTGTGAGAGGATGTATGAGAATAGAGGCATAAATGAGCACCCGTCAAGCCAGTCAGTCATTTGATCCACTTTGAATGGTGCTCCGGGAACAATTTAAGATCTTGACACTCAATTCAAATGAAAGGAGGACTTTTCTCAACTCTTGATCGTTGAGATTGAACTTTCTAAGCACAAAAGTTCAAGCTATTGAAGACACAAACACGCTCTTTCCTCAAGTTTGATCTAACTGTGGAGACACGATCAAGTGGAGTGGGAAGCTTTTGTATTCCCCATCCAGCCATCCAAAAATGGCCTTAGGATTATTAGCACTTGGGTTCTACCTCATTATATGTTTCTTTCTATATATTGGTATGTACTTTGTTACTGAGTATTGCATTATATGGGGATAATGATGATGATGTTTTGGTTTATTAGTGTTCTATTCTTTATGCCCTGTTTTTACCTCATCCATTGCTGTTCAGTGATCATATCCTTCTCTTCTTAACAATGCTGACAGAAAATTGGCAAGATGTTGGGTCCCATATCTCGATTCAAAGATGTGATTGTGGGTGGCATTCAACGGGGTACTTTTGTCAGGAGCAGCTCCTCTACTGAGCATTAAGATGATGATGGGGTTCTTTGGTCAGGAGCAGCTCCTCCACTAAGCATTAAGATGATGACGAAAAGAGAGTGAGAGAGAGAGAGAGAGAGATGTGCTAGTTTGCTTTTAAGTGTGATTAACCTATTTTTCTTATGATTAAGCTACAGAGTTTCATGTTAATATGTGGTTATTACTATGCTGCTGCTATTATTTTGTTTGTGGATGTCTCGAAATTCCTTGTCAGTTTGCATTGCATATATCAAGTCATTGTGGGGAGGGATAAGCCCCCTACACAAGGTTAAAAATTGTGCATGGAATGACCTTTTCAAATAGTAACTTATATTTTCAAAACTGAGAAATGTGACCCTTGCATATCGAGGAAAATGTAGCTGCTTGCTGGAAAATATGGCAGTGTTTTATTGATTCAACATATAGTTGTGGTGGCTGAGCAGTTCTTTAGTTACATGTTTTGCTTAGACTAAGCAATTGGGATCAAATATACATATATGGAACTCTTACATGTACGGATTGATTGTAATCCTCCAGCCTAAAATTCTTGTTACTCCCTTCATCTTAAAGTTGTTGTCCATCTTTCTAATTTGAGATGTCTTAGAATATGAAGTTGTTGTCCATCTTTCTAATTTGAGATGTCTTAGAATATGGATGTGCTATTTTTTTTTTTTTAATAACATTTCCAAACTATTTGATTAAATCAGTGTACTAATTACGAAGTATTATTATTATTTTTTTTTGTCTTTTAACAAGGGTATCTTTTAACGAGGCTACATTGGGAAATTCACTTTACTACTATAAAAAGTTGGATACTCAAAAACACCCAAGAATTTTGGGTTCTATGGAACTCTAACTACTCCCTCTCTATGTAAAAGTCATATTAAATCAACAAACTAGAAATATCGGGTAAAATAACTTGTGGCAAGATTTTTTACGCATACACATCATCATGATTTCTAGTAAATCAACAAAATTAGAAAGTACGGAGTAATCAAGAACTCTATTATTCTTGCATATCAAAAGCCATGTTTAAGTCAGGTCTTCTGCTACTGCTTGCACCATTCTCCTCTGCCGGAGGAAGAGGAGGATAGACCACTTTAACGACAGCAAAGCAAAGATCAAAACCAACTCGGAATGACCAAACTTAGACAACCACATCTTCACAAAACTTGTTCTTATCAACAATTTGTTTCCAAGAGGTTACCAACACATACATTGAGCTACCTTTGTTAGGCGTCTTGGGCATGTCCCACATCCTCAAGTTGTTGTCCATCTTTCTAATTTGAGATGTCTTAGAATATGAAGTTGTTGTCCATCTTTCTAATTTGAGATGTCTTAGAATATGGATGTGCTATTTTTTTTTTTTTTAATAACATTTCCAAACTATTTGATTAAATCAGTGTACTAATTACGAAGTATTATTATTATTATTATTTTTGTCTTTTAACAAGGGTATCTTTTAACGAGGGTACATTGGGAAATTCACTTTACTACTATAAAAAGTTGGATACTCAAAAACACCCAAGAATTTTGGGTTCTATGGAACTCTAACTACTCCCTCTCTATGTAAAAGTCATATTAAATCAACAAACTAGAAATATCGGGTAAAATAACTTGTGGCAAGATTTTTTACGCATACACATCATCATGATTTCTAGTAAATCAACAAAATTAGAAAGTACGGAGTAATCAAGAACTCTATTATTCTTGCATATCAAAAGCCATGTTTAAGTCAGGTCTTCTGCTACTGCTTGCACCATTCTCCTCTGCCGGAGGAAGAGGAGGATCGACCACTTTAACGACAGCAAAGCAAAGATCAAAACCAACTCGGAATGACCAAACTTAGACAACCACATCTTCACAAAACTTGTTCTTATCAACAATTTGTTTCCAAGAGGTTACCAATACATACATTGAGCTACCTTTGTTAGGCGTCTTGGGCATGTCCCACATCCTCAACCCTATCATAATATACTCAAGTTCTGGATCAATCTGCAAACACTGTATTACGCGACACTCGCCATCTTTGTCTCGCGTCTTCAAGTAGGCCACCTCATCTTCTCTCAGGAACTCCTTGTTCCTGATATTATTGACCAGCATCGACAAACAATTGTGAGTGTCACTACAATCAGTTGTAAACAAGGCCTTCTGTATAACCAGAAATATTTGGGTACCATGCAACTCATTAATGATGAAATTCTCCATTCCCAAAGGCATGTATGGTGGTCGTTCCAAACCATGCCATTGTTTCTTCTTCTTTTCCTTCTTCTTCTTCTTCTTTTCCTTCATCTCCTCCATCTTCTGATTAGTATTCTTCTTTTTTATGATCTTTGACTTTTGATTTGTTGCAAATCTTGGATCAATGTCAATAATGTGATTGGAATGGACATAAGGATTATAAATAATGGGCTTCTTAAGAGCTTTTTCTTTCAACAACCTTTGTTGACGTTACGAAAAATAACAAGATTGTTGAGGCATCATGCTGCTTTTTCTCTGTCATATTTCTGACTTACAACTTTTGTGACTTCTAACAAGTAATCCCAATCACTAACTCTTTTTCGGCTTACTATAAGCCACATCTTAAAGACTTATATCGCTCAAGAACTTCTTCTTCTCCATTAAGGGTTTCAGGTTTATTTAGAGAGAGATTGGTGTATATTTAGAGAGAGAAGGTAGTGTTCAGGTTCTCTCTATATTTATAGAGAGTGAGATAGAAGGGGCAAGGGTTTGCTTCCGTCTCAAGCCTGTCCTTCTAAGGAATTAAAGGCGTGATGATGGTTTCCATATAGGAGTAGAATTTTAAAGACAGAATTTCCAAATATTTGCTAAACTGATCCAAAAATAGATTTAAAAAAATAATAAAAATAAAAATCTGGGTCTCTTCCAATTTTTTATTTTTTTTTATTTTTTATTTATTTATTTATTTATTTTTAATTGAATACAATCTTGAATATTTCTTTTCCGATATAGACCATCGCTTACAAAAGGAGTAAATTATTAATGTTTTGCGCTCTTATTTTTTACGATTTTTTTAATACATTAATGATCTATTTTATTTTATTAATGTTTTCCTTCTTCTTTCTTTTTTTCCCGCAGATAAGTAAGAGCACAAATTATATCAACATGGACGGCTTCAAGCAGCCATATGAGAAGGTTCAAGCCAGAGTGGGCCTTTATGAGTTGGTCTTCCAGGCCAATAAATGAGAAGTTTTAGTAGCTTCAGCCTTCAGATATCTCTAGCTTTCGAAGGAGAAGGAAGACAGACAGATAATCGTCTGATAAAACACTTCTGTTCACCGATAACCGATTCGTCCCGTTCTCAAGTTTTAGAGAGAGAAAACTATAAACATTTAGAGAGAGAACGAACGAATAAATCCACCGCCAGCACCAAAAAACCAAGGACTCAACGATCACCCCCCACCCCAAAAAAAGCCCACCCCACCCCAAACAACCAAGGGCCCCTAGAAAGCCTCCAAATCTCAACATACCACGTGCCGCTCAGCACGAAGGAGACGATACAGCAAGTCAATCCCATGTCAAGGCTGACTCCACATTAGACTCAAGCCTTGGAAAATCATAGCAAATCAGGGAAACGGAATACCTTGGCTCCGGACGGGGATCACCAATTGCCAGGGAACGACGTACTGGCAAACCTCCGGAGAGAAGTAGACGAACAGATGAAAGGACTGAAAGCCCAAACACCCGGGGACATGACGCGAGAATTCACTGCCTCTATAATAAAGACTCCTTTCACAGATGAAATAGAGCAGGTCGAAAGACCCAAGTTTCCCATGCCAAAATTCATCAAATTCAATGGGACCGGGGATCCCCTCCAGCATTTAGACCACTAAAGCCAAGAGATGACTTTAGAGGCACGAAACGACTTCTTCATGTGCAAAATCTTTCTGTCTAGTCTGACAAAAGTGGTGTTGGAATGGTTCAAGAACCGACCACACAAATCTATCCCGAACTTCGAGACGTTATGCACGGCCTTCTTAGCCCAATACTGCGGAAACAAGAAGCAACCCTTTCATTATTCGACAAATTAAAGGAGAAGGCCTCCAAACCTTTCTCACTCGATTTAATATGGAGTCCTCTGGCATTCCAGGCTGCAACCAGGCTACAACCATAGAGGCATTCAAAATAGCCATGATCCAAGGCAAAAGGTTCCACTCTTCATTATTAAAAAAAGACTCCATCAGATATGTCAGAACTGAACGCAAGGGTGTAGAATTACATCAAACTCGAAGAGAACGAGATGACAATGCAGCAAAGGGCAACATTGGTCACAGTGAAAAGCCGGCCAAGAGGAGATGACGAGGTTGAAGATGTTGTTACTGAAGTGGATGTTGCGGAGGTAACATTGAATGCAAAGGATGAATAAAACTGGAATGTTAAAGATTTTACTATGCCAGAGGAGTTTCCTGGAATTCAGTTTTTTTGTGAAAAGGGTAACAGGTTATCTATTCGTGGTACGAAGTTCGAGGAGGGGTCAACGCTGGAGGGGTTAGATTTGACTGATAAAGAGCAGAGTATTTATGATGCAGCCAAATTAAGTTCTTTTCACAATGAAACAACCCTGAACAGGTCAACCACATATGATGAAAACACGATGATTTCTAAATTAATTGAACCTTCTGATCATGGCTTAGATTCGGACATCTCGCAATTGTCAAAAAAAAACTTACAAAGGAAGATAAGTATGACGAGTTTGAACTTCCTTGTGAAGCTTGGTGGAAGAGGCGAGCTACTTCTTTATATACTCATGCAAAAGAGGCAAATGCATTTTGGTCTGTATTTATATATTTGTGCATTATACAATCTAACTAAAATAAGTCACAATAAAATTATACTAATCAAGCTTTTTTCTTTTTTTGAGTCTCTAATACGGAGTAGTATATTTTTAACTACATATTTTACAAACCTTTAATAATAGAAGAAGACGATTTTTGCATACATTTTTTCTATCCACGTAAATTTTTAAGATTGGACTACTCTTAGGTGCAAATAATTCTTTAAAAGGACGTGTATAGGTACCAATTAGGGAAAAAAATAATAATTTTAAAATAGAGGAGACCCATAGTATAATTTTTATTTTTATTTTTTATTTATTTTTGGATCAGTTTAGCAAATTAACCACTTAAAACTCAGGAAACTTCCATATTGGGAGAAAACCAATTGAGCAAACCTATATTAGATGGACTCAGGTACGGGTGTCGGACACGGGTATGTATCCATGTGTCAGACGTGTCAAATCTCCAAACAGAAGAATACATGGACACGGCTAAATATTCATTTTATTAATTATTTTCTTCTATTTTATAGAGTAAAGTAATGTTTTTATCTAATATAATGTTCAATATAGACATTTAACTCTTTTAAAAGTAATAATATAATGTAATTGAATGATTGGATATGTTTTTTAAGTACATGTCTAACCAAAAGTGTCGGACACATATCCTATACCCATGTCCGAGGGATATGTGTCTGACACAGGTACTTCATTACTTTTGAAGAGTCAATGTAACATAAGAGCAAACTACTTAGGGCCTGTTTGGTTAGTGTTTTTGCTTCATGATTTTTGCTTTTGCTAGTGTACTATAGTAAGCAAAAGCACGAAGCATGTTTGGTAATATTTGTTATACTTTTGAATAGTACCGTAGCGCTTCCAAAATTGAGGCCAAAATCGGAAGCATCGAAATGATATTTTTGTTTGCTTCCGCATAGTAGCAAAGCACTGTTTATAAAAAAAAAAAAAAAAAAAAAAAAAAAAAATCTTTCTAAAATAACATTTTTAACTAACCATTCAAATTTTCAAACTTGCAAACACTTTTTACCAAACATGCTTTCATATTTTTACTTCTAAAAATCTTGTAACAAATTTACATTACCAAACAAGCTTCTAAATAGTGTGGAACACACTCTAAAAGCATAAACATTGCTTTTGCTTTGGGTCAAAGCAAAAATACAAAACAACTGTGGTTGCCAAACGGGCCCTTAAAATACCAAAATATTTAGAAATTTTATCTTTAAAATTCTCCTCCTATACGGAAACCTTCATCACCCCTTTAATTCCTTAGAAGGACAGACTTGAGACGCAAGTAAACCTATGCCCCTTTTATCTCCCTCTCTATAAATATAGAGAGAATCTAAACACCACATTCTCTCTCTAAATATACACCCTTCTCTCTCTAAATAAACATAAAACCCTTAATGGAGAAGAATAAGTTCATAAACGATATGAGTCTTGAAGATGTGGCTGATAATAAGCCGAAGAAGAGTTTGAGTGATTAGGATTATTTGTTAGAAGTCACAAAAGTTGCAAGTCAGAAATCTGACAGGGAAAAAGCAACAATGTTGCTTCAACAATCTTCTTCTTCGCAACGTCGACAAAGGTTATTGAAAGAAAAAACTCTCAAGAAGCCCATTATTGATAATCCCTATGTCCATCCCAATCACATTATTGACATTAATCCAAGATTGGCAATAAATCAAAAGTCGAAGACCATCAAAAAGAAGAATACTAATCAGAAGATGGAGGAGAAGAAGGAGAATAAGAAAAAATGGCATGGTCCAGAACAACCACCGGACATGCCTTTGGGAATGGAGAATTTCATCACTAACGAGTCAATGGTACCGAGATACTTCTGGTCATATAGAAGGGCTTGTTTACAACCGATTGTAGTGACACTCACAATCGTTGGTCAATGCCGGTCAATAATATCAGGAAGAACGAGTTTCTGAGAGAAGATGAGGGGGCCAACTTGAAGACGCGAGACAAAGATGACAAGTGTACTGTAATACAGTGTTTGCTGATTGATCCAGAACTTAAGGAATTTATGATAGGGTTGAGGATGAGGGACATGCCCAAGACACCTAACAAAGGTAGCTCTATGTATGTATTGGCAACCCCTTGGAAACAAATTGTTGATAAGAACAAGTTTTGTGAAGATGTGGTTGTCCAAGTTTGGTCATTTCGAGTTGGTTCTGATCTTTGCTTCGCTCTCGTTAAAGTGACCGATCCTCCTCATCATCCTCCTCCGGCAGAGGCAGGCCGGCCCTAAGATTCCCAAAATTTTGAGAGGCCCTAGGCGAACTTTCAAATGCAAGACCCTTTAAGTTTCACACGCTCAAAAATAAAAAATAAAAATTATAAGAGTACGGAATTTTCACACAATATTTTAAAATTCTACAACTAATATAATTATGTGTAAGTGCCATATGCATAAGACAGGTACCTAATAACTATAAATTTATCACCACCAACAAATAATTGTGCATCTGTGCAGTGTGCACAAGACAACTAACTAATAACTATAAATCTATTACCACCAATAAATAATTGTGCACCTGTGCAGTGTGCATAATCAAAAAAAGAATGGATGTTTTAGTCTGTACAAAAGATTGAATTCCACTTTGATTATCCATGCAAATATACCCTTAGTTGTCAAAACAATAGTAAACAATTATTTTCAAGGCATCCAAATAAATAATGTACTGGCATATTTTTCTTGGAATTCATTATTCCTTTATCAATTCTATGGAATTACAGAATACCCTAAACAAAGAAACCCACACTAGCTGAGAATAACTCATTAACTCCCCATTCCCTTACCAAATTCTATGTGTGTATATAATATACACACACACCTATATATATATTAAGTACTCATCACAGTAGGAGATATATATATATATATCTACACACAAAGGTCATCCGATGCCCCCATGTTCCATCTTTGTCACTTACTCCCTCTAAACTTCATTAACACCTCTCTGCAACTCATCAGACCTCCGTTTATAGATGTTACTAGTTATCAATTAAATCCATAATTCCATACAACTCAACAGCTCTAAACAAGACAAACTCTAACCAATCAACTTCATGACCTCTTATACAGATGTAGAACTTTGTCAAAACCAAAGCAAACAATCTCACTTTCTATTTAATATTAAACACCCAATTCACACTAGTACTCTTAACTCTTTTAAGTCCAAGGCAAGGTTCAATCAACATTCCTTGAAAAGAAAGAATTAATATAAATGAAGCCAGAATGATTGCCTTGTAACCTGCATGATTTCAAGCAATACGCTATGTGGAATAACAAGTGGCCAGCTATAATTCCACTTTGATTATCCAATTTATCCTGCCTTTTTTGTTCTAAGCCTCTAAGGTAAGGGGTAAATCTTCTATTTCAAGCATCCCATCAATTTTCAAAATTCAATAATCAACCAGACCAATGAAATTAGATTCAAATTGATCAAAAAGGAGGTAAAAGGTTCCATAAACACGCGGAATCAAGAGAAAAATAAAAAATAAAAAAATCAATTTCAGATTGGAAAAAGCGAAAAAGGAACCCAGTACCATAAATTGGAATTATTGCATGAGTTACTTACTTGTAATCTTTTCGGCGCTGCTCCTGATGAAACTAAAGCTAATCTCCCAAACACAAACCCAAATCTTATCCTTCCACTTCGAGCCTTCGAGGAGCGACAGGAGCCCTAGAACACAATTCGTGTTTTCATTTTTTTTGCTTGATTCGAAAAACATAAAAATGGGTAAAGAAATTCAGTGGCTAAAAGACGGCCAAACTGAACAAAATTGGGCCCATAAACCCAAACATTTTATTTCTATTATGGGCCAACATTTTTTATCTCAGCATTTTTTGTCAACTTTTGTTTTGGGCCAAATTTTGAGGCCTAGTATATAACTATATAGGTTGGTTCAAAATTTGAGGCCCCCCAAATTTGGAGGCCCTAGGCCACCGCCTGGGCCACCTGGGTCCAGGACTCCAGGGGCAGAGGTGGATGGTGCAAGCACCAGCACCAGACATGGCTTACACACAGAAGATGGTGGCGTTAGCCAGTGGCGTAGCCACGTAGGGACAAGTGGGGGCAGTTGCCCTCACTGAATTTTTTATTTATTTATTTTTTTTTAATTTCATATAGAAAGATTTTTATATTTATATAATTGTCCCCACTAAAAATTGACATTGCACATAATCTTTTCAAAAAAAGAATATAATCTTTCCAAAAAATATGATATTAAAGGAATATAATCTTTCTAAAAAATATGATATTTTTTTCCACTTTCTTAAAATATTATATTCTTTCACACTTTCTCCAAAAATTCACAAAATCCAAACAAATACTGGCAGAAACAGGTAATCTGATATATATTTTTTTATCATCTAAATTTACTGTTATTATGCCATGAACATTTTTAAAACTCAACTGCGCTGTTTAATTTTTACATATATTAATTTGGTTCAAATAATATATATATATATATATATATATATATTTTTGGTTCAAATAATATATATATATTATTGCTGTTAAAAATTGCCCCCACTGAAGGAAATTTCTGGCTACGCCACTAGCGCTAGCAACAGCAAAATACCTGACTTAAACATGGTTTTTGTTATGGAAGAATAGAGTTCTTGATTTATTCCACAAATTAACTTTCCTCTTTCTAATTTTGTGGATTTAATAGGATTCCAGATGATATATATGTGTAAACAATCTTACCACAACTTATTTTTCCTGATATTTCTAATTTGTTGATTTAATGGATTCCAGTTTGTTGATTCAATTTAATTTTGTCACAATTTATTTTTGCCTGTTCTTTCTAATATGCTGGTTTAATAGAATTCCAGTTTGTTTATTTAAAATTATTTTTATATATATATATATATATATATATATATATATATATATAAAGAGAGAGTAATTAGAGTTCGATCCATAGAAAAAGTCTTGTCTTGATTAGTAGAGACAATCCATTGTTTGTCTTAAGAGTTCTATAAAAAGTCGCGTCTTAAGAGTTACACGTACTTGTGAATTATGTGATAAGTAATCTTAAAGAGAGTTCGGTATTATGTGAATGAGATGATATCACATCATTAAATATGACGATTTCATTACTTACTCACCTAAATTTAGTTGTTTTTACTTCATACTTTATAGAGTAATGATATTTGCACCAATTATTTAGGCAGAAATGTTAGTCCTACTATATATGATTAGTTAATGCATGCTAAATATAAAAAATGGGATCCTCCACTTCCTTATCTAATGTATTAATGACAAATCAAATATGGCAAGCCTAACAATTCTGCCTAAGTGATACGGACAAGTATTATTAATCTACTTTATATTGAACAATCAATACTTTTTGTGCATGAAATTTCAGCCCATATTTGAACACACTGGGATTCATCACATCACCCATTCCTTGTAATCCCGATTGCAAAAGCCTCCCACAACCAGTACCATTGATTCATGAAACAAAACAAGCGACAAGCAAAACGCAATATGATTGTAAAAAAATAAGAAACAGAAGCAATATACGAGCTATCAAGATTTTCAGGTGAACATGAGACTTACAGATTGCATGCTCTTTTATTGCTCTGTACCGGCCAAGGAAAAAAGTTCAGGAACACAAATTATCCAGAACCAATGTAAAGTAAGCACAGGTAAACAAAATGAAAGCAGAAGACAACAACCTGTAAAAAGTTCTCTTTGGCCGGGGCCAACTCACACAATTCAGGAGCGATGGTCTAAGGGTCCGTTTGGCATGCGTTTTGTTTTTAGCGTTTTGTTTTTGGCTAAAATAGAAACAATATTTTTGTTGTAAGAGTGTTTTGGAAAAAATTCTAAAACACGTTTGGGAACTATATTTTGCTATGAAAATGGGAAAACAAAAACATACAAAACATGTTTGGTCTCACAAATATATATATATATATATATATATATATATATATATATATATATTTGCAATAAACTATTAGGTAACAGCAGGCGATGGAAGCTTGCGAATGGCGAACCTGAATTGGAACAGTAGGTGATGGAAACTGAAAGATATGGGTTTTGATTTTTTGAACAATCTGAAATGATATGCCTGGGTTTTGATATAGGTAATAGGTTTTGATTCTTGCAAACAGATATGGGTTTTGAACTTCTGAAATATGTGGGTTTTGAATTTTTGATTCTTGTAGATTTTGTAGTTTGCAATTGCAGAGAAAGAGAGAGAGAGAGAGAGAGAGAGAGAGAGAGGAGACAGAGAGGGCAAGTTCAGATTTGAGAACGAGAATAGAGATGGAGGTATAGGTAATAATAGGTGCAGACAGATAGATAAACTGAAATAAATGGGTTTTGAACTACTGATTCTTGTAGATTTTGTAGCTTGCACTTGCAGAGACAGAGAGGGGGTAAGATCTGAGTAGAGAACGAGAATAGAGATGGAGGTGATTGGAAGTGATTTGCGATCACCCAAAATCGCCAAGAACAGCTGCGCCAAACAAAACCCTAGAAAATGATATTTTGCCTTTTATACGTGTTATACTTGCTACAGTTTAATGAAAGAATTGCTTCCTCCGCTACAGTAATTTGTAGCACAAACAGTGCCGAAACATGAAAAAACACCAAAATGGTGTTTTATATTTTGGGCCTATTTTTGAAATTGTTTTGGAACTATTTAAAACACAACTAGCCCAGCCAAACATATTTTGGGCCTATTTTTGAAATTGTTTTGGAACTATTTAAAACACAACAAGCCCAGCCAAACATATTTTGGGCTTCAAAAGGACTACTGTAGCAGGCCAAAAACAAAACAAAACAAAACAGATGCCAAACAGGCCCTAAGGCTTCACAAAATTTTTTTTTTTTTCTTAGTTGGTACTTACATACACGTACTTCCATTGAGACTCAAACCCCTGACCTCTCTATAGGAAGTAGGGCCTGGTACTACTAGGTCACTGGATTATCAGTCAGACGTCACAATTTAGTTAGAGAACTATTAAAGTGGGGGCATCTTAGAAATGTTTTTGCTCAACTAAGAGTTTTACCCAACCATGTACAGTTTGGTTACTAATATTCCTTCCGTATATCCCTTCATCATTTGATCTCTATAGCTATGTTCACTGAATCCGTCCTCTTCTTGCATTTAACTAGTCCAGAATTCTCTCTCCGGTCGAAAAAAGGTTCCAGACTACTGTGCCAATGATGTACAATGCAACAGCCACCTTAAACACTTCATCCCAAGAACCTGCAAAAAAAATAGTTTGAAAAGCAGAAAAATTTAAGTTCCTAGCTCTCACACACACAGAGCTTAAGATGGTAGAAGTCAGAAATTAAGTATGATTTCTAGATTGGTTTGAAGAAATCAGCTTACAAGTTTGGTGAATACTAATGCAACAACTAGTTGAGGAAAAGAAGGTATGAATAAATTATTATGTAATTTTTATTGCTTCAGGTTGGATTTATGCAAGTTGAAAGACACATCATCTAAGTATCAACCATTTATTAGCCAACCGTTAGGTTTGGCTACTCTCCAAATTCTAAATCTCCTACTCTCTCATAAACAATAACCCAGTGTGAGTTGGTGCAGGTCTCAATTGAATTCACAATGCAGGTCTCAAGTTGTAAATATGGTGCTTCAGCAAACCATTAAACGACCATTAGCAGACACTGTTGCTTCTCTCCAGTTCCAAATTCTCCTCCAACTCTGTCAAATCCAACCACCGGCTTTGGGTTGGTGCAGACCTCAACTGAATCCACAGTCTGATTTTTCTTTTCTTTTCATTATTTTTTTGTTTTTGGACAAGTATATATTCAAGAAGTGCCAAAGAAGAAGACTCAACTACGTACACACAATGTGCATGGAAGCACAAAAACAAAACTCCTGCAATAAGCTTAAATCCTGTTAAATCTACACACGGTGTGTAATGCTTTTAATTGAATTGAATGAGAACTGAACTGAAGAGGAACCATGCTTATTACTGCACCATCTAACAGAACATAATGCATGTTAGACAGCAAAGAGGGCGTGTAGTAAAAAAAGATTATGGAACTGCTACTAAAGTTTGTATATTTTAGAAAATCCAAGCAAACATACATATTCATAAATATAACATTCTGATAATTTTCACAATTGACATCCCACAAGGAGCTTGATTAATGATCAATGTCAACAACCCGATGAAATTAACATATATGATGATGATGATGATGGAATACAAGAAATATAAAATTTTATTGATGGATCATTGGTATATCTGGAATATCCAAGGTAGAAATATGGAGATAAAAAATGAAAGAACAGAAAGAATGGCCCAAATTATGATAACAGGCATATTGCCAACAATGTTGTCTCATATACTTGATTATAATAGGTAGGCATCCATGTCAAAAGAATAAAAGTTCCCCAATTATGGCAGAAGTGGGAGATAATGAGAACCCAAACAGGTCCCTTTAATATATACCATATATATATATATATATTGTGTGTGTGGAGAGAGAGAGAGAAGAGCATAATACAGAGGAAAATTTTTAAATACTGCTCAAATAAAACGAACAGACAAGCGTAGTGATTAATCCATCCTCACACTATCGCACACAGGAATTTCACAATGAAGTCATTCTACCTTGTCCAATTGTCTATTATCAGAATCTTTATAGTTTTCTATAAAGCAAGAAAAATGCACCAGCAATATCTCAACAAATCCAGGGCACCAAATACGCTAGTCCAGTTGCTACTTAATAATATTGTTGGTGCTCGCAGAAGCATTAACATTAACATTCATATTCAGGTTCTATTGAGAAGCACAAAATACACGGAAAATATGACAATGACATAAATAAAATACACTTCAGAA